CCCAGCATATAAGATGACCCCCGACTTTTGAGACCCTTTTCCAGGGTTTAAAACTCGTCTTATATGCCAGAAAATACAGTATGTTAAAAATAATTAATCTTTTTTTACACAATCACAGCAAAACGTTCACAGACTATGTAACACAGGGCCTTCCACAAAGTGCCATCCTGTTGCCTCATTATGCCATGTAGATTACTCTCAGTTCTCAAAGGCTATGTCAGTGGAGTACTGAAATGTGTTGGTCCCTCACCACTATTTCCTAGCAGTGGCACTGTAGGATTGCAATGACTGTAGCTCAATGGAAGAACATATACTTGGCACCCCAACTTCAGTCCAGTTAGAAATGAAAAATATTTCTTCCTGCAATTCTTTGAGAGATGCTGCCAGTTAGTACTAACAATAATGAATTAAATGAGTAACAGTTTTTGTATAAGGCAACCTTTTGTGTTTCCTCATCAGAAACAGTTGCTCCAGCAGATCATGCAAGGAAGATGAACATGGTTTCACCAGAGCAACAATGGAAACACACTTGGGCTGGCATCTTGTTGGGTAGTCATAAGCAAATTTGTCATAAGCAAATCAACTGTTGAATGCTGAGTCCACATGTAAATAAATCCCACTTATTTAACGGGTCAACAGTAACAATAGGATTTAGATGTCTCTGTGTGTTCAAAGGCCTTTACAGAAAAGTGATGGCAAGGAAAATCCAAATACTTCAGCAACATGCTAGATCCCAACACCTGTCAAGAGAAAATGCTTCCAGGAAATTTACAGGCCAGGCATGAAAGCTGCAGTCTTCATCTGCTTTCTGTTCCCAACATCTGAAGATTGGGGAACAAACCCATGTTCAGAGACAAACAGTCTATTGTTTCCCAAACAGTCTATGAGAAGCAAAGGAATCTTGTAGCATCTTTGAGACTGTGGGCCTATACAGACTGCCAGAAATAATCCAGCTTGAGACCACTTTAACTGTCCTGGCTCAGTGCTAAGGAATCATGGGAACTGTAGTTTATTGTGGCACCAGAGCTCTCTGACAGAGACGGCTCAATGTCTCAGAAAAAACTACAATTTCCACAATCCTCTAGCACAGAGCCAGAACAGTTAAAGTGTTTTCAAACTGGATTATTTCTAGCAGTCTGTATAGGCCCTAAGTACGCAAAAGATGTTATAACATAAGCTTTCATAGACTTAGCCTATTTCCTGAGATACAAGTAAGAAGTAAACTCATGTCCAAAACACATTGTAGAAATAATCCAATTTGAGACTGCTTTAACAGCCCCTGCTCAGTGCTAGGGAATCCTGGGAATTGTAGTTTGTTGTGGCACCAAAGCTCTCAGACAGAGAAGGCTAAATGTCTCACAAACTATAGTTCCCAGAATTCCTTAGCACTGAGCCAGGGCTGTTAAAGCAATCTCAAACTGGATTATTTCTGCAATGTGTTTTGGACCTCAGTTTACAAAAGCTTATGTTAGCAACGTCTTTCGCACAGTCTCAAAGGTGCAGCAAAATCCCTTTGCACATTGTTATGCCATACTAATATGGTTATGTCTGTGAAGTCTATGAGATGAGAACTCATTTCTGACCCATTTGGAGTTTTCCTTGTTGGGAGAGGCTACCCTCCTGTGTGGTGGTGGCATTATTATTGTTGTTGTTGTTGTTGTTACATAAACCAGTATGAAGTTCCATAACTGAGTCATAGCACCACATCTATGCCAGCCAATGTTTCCAAGGGGTGTTGCAGACTGCCAGAAATAGTGCAAATTGAGTCCACTTTTAGGGTTAGGGTTAGTGCTAGGGAACCATGGGAATTAGGTTTTTTCTGAGACATTAAGCCTTCTCTGTCAGAGAGCTCTGGTGCTACAATAAAATACAGTTCCTATGATTCCCTAACCCTAACCCTAACCCTAACCGTGGCCTCAATTTGCACTATTTCTGGCAGTCTGCAACCCCCCCCCCCCAAGTTGGTTAAATAACTTTGCACTGAGTGGTATTTAGCTTTCTAGGAAGCTCTTATTAACACCACCACCATTATCACCATCACAACTCCCACTACTCCATTTCTAACTTTCAGGTTTGTATGTCCAATTAGTCCAACTTGGGTGAGTTACACACTCTCAGCTCCAGAAAACCCATGATAAGATACACCATAAGACAGAAATAACTTGAAAGGAAAAAAAAAAAGAAAAAAAAGAATCCTCATTATTTCCACATTATTGCTGCTTCTGGTACCAAATTTTCTGTTAAAAATAGTAATGCCCCAGAAATACATCTACTTCGTTATGTATTATCTATGTATTGTTTTAACCTGTTACATTATGTTAAATGCATCTATGATGAAATATTTGCAGGTAGCACTTCTAATGTTTGAACTGGAGACTAGGGTTCCATTCCAAGCTTGGCCATGGAAACCCAGTACCGGACTCTGGACAAGTCACACTCTCTCAGCCTTAGAGGAAGGCCATGGCAAACCTCCTCTGAACAAACTATGACAAGAAACCCCCACGATAGGTTCGACTTAAGGACGCCATGAGTTGGCAAAACTTAAAGGCACGCAACACAGACACACACACCTGGATAACTGAGAGGGTCTCCCCTCCATAGTTCTCATTTCAATGAAGGTACATCATTACATTACAATCTCCTTATACCAAGCCTACACAACGCGTATCCTGCCATGCCTAATGTAGTCCGTCAGTCCTTTGCTACCTATCAACTGCTTGCCAATCCTTTAGTTTTGTAATCCTAATTCCCAGAATGGAGCAAGCAGAGAAAGGTGATTAAGTTTCTGTAGAGTCACCATGAGAGCCAGAGTGGTGCAGTGGTTTGAGCGTCTGACTGTGACTCTGGAGACCATGCTTTGATTCCCTGCTCAGTCATGGAAATCCACTGGGTGACCTTAGCCAAGTCACACTGTCTCAGCCTCAAAGGATGGCAATGAAAAACCCTTTCTGAACAGATCTTGCTGGGAAAACTCTGTGATAGGTTTGCCTTAGGGTCACCATAAGTTGGAAGCGGCTCGAAGGCATACAACAACAACCTAGAACATAGAATTCACAGACATAGCCGTGTTAGTTTGTAGAATCAGTATGTAGAGAGATCTTGTAGCACCCTTGAGACTAACTGAAAGAAAGAAGTTGGCAGCATTGAGCTTTCCTAGACTTCAGTCTACTTCAGGCCTGCACAACATATGGCCCGGGGGCCATATCCGACCTGCCAAAGGATTTCAGGTGGCCTGTGGGGATGTGGAACAACTTCAGGCTTCTCCTACGCTTGGCTTCCTCCTGAAGAGAGGGCCAGGCATTAAAGGAGGAAGATGGAATTAATATTTATTAATTCTAATTAATATATGTAACATTATTAATTAATTAATATTTAATTTAAGCTTATGTGCAGCCTGAAGAAGTTAAACCTATTTTAATTTTGGCCCCTAGCTACTGTCAAGTTGTGCAGGTATGGTCTACTTCCTCAGATGCACTTGGTGGAGTGGAAGCCAAGGACAGACGTATATATATGCCTGGCATTCTCACACACCAAGGGCATATACATGTCTGTCCCTTGGCTTCCACTCCACCAAATGCATCTGAGGAAGTAGACTGAAGTCTATGAAAGCTCATGCTGCCAACTTCTTTCTTTCCGTTAGTCTCAAAGGTGCTACAAGACCTCTCTACATAGAACACAGAAGTTCCAGGTAAGTGCGTTCCAGGCTGGGCAGGTGCCTCTCCTCTTCCAGCCAGGCCTCTCCCTCCACCCCTTGCCTGGGGCCACCGGCGAGGCCTCTCCTTCCTTCCAAGACCGGCCTCCCTGCTCACCTGCAAGTTGGACGTGGCCGCCATGATGGGCGGAGCTGCCCGGTGGAGGGAGAGGCGGACGGGCGACGGAAGCCGAAAAGGGACCCCCTGGGACCCCTCCCGCCGGAATCCCTCTGGAAAAGGCTGCTCCGCTGAGGGAGAAGGAGAGGGAGCGCCTGGTGCCCGGTGCCCCGGCTACTTCCGCAACCCAGTCCCACCGCCGGCCGAGATGGAAAGCAAGCTCCGCTTCCGCTTCCGCTAAGCGCCCTCGTGACGTCACACGCCGCGCCCGTCCCCTGGCGACGGCCTTCGGGTGGCTGGGAGGCCAAACCGGAAGGAAGGCAGGCAGGCGGAGGGATGGAGGGAGGAGCGCGGGTAGTCACGCCGTCTCGGCGCATGCGCAGGAACTTCCGGGGTGGCTCTGTCCTGGTCAGGTCTTAGTAAGCCGTGACGTATTTGCAAAGGGGAGGGGGGAAGGAAAAGGTGGTGTGGCTACCCCCTATGACTGCATTCAAAGATATAGCCGTGTTAGTCTGTGGGATCAGTATGTAGACAGGTCTTGTAGCACCTTTGAGACTAACTGAAAGAAAGAAGTTGCCGGCATTGAACTTTCCTAGACTTCAGTCTACTTCCTCAGATGCATCTTCCACCTCAGATGCTTCCTCAGGAGCTACTTCCACCAAATGCATCTGAGGAAGTAGAGTGAAGTCTATGAACGCTCATGCTGCCAACTTATTTCTTTCAGTTAGGGCCTAAGCAGACTGGCAGAAATGGTGCACATGAAATTGAGGCACTGCCCTGGCTCAGTGCTAGGGAATCATGGGAATTGTATTTTTTTCTGAGACATTGAGCCTTCTCTGTCAGAGAGCTCTGGTGCCACAATAAACTACAGTTCCCATGATTCCCTAGCACTGAGCCAGGGCAGTGCCTCAATTTAATGTGCACCATTTCTGCCAGTCTGCTTAGGCCCTAAGTCTCAATGGAGCCACAAGATCTCTCTACGACGTACTGCCCCCTATGGATACATCTACACTGTGGAAATAATGCAGTTTGGCACCTCTTTGACTGCCCTGGCTCTAGCCTAGAAAACCCTGGCATTTGTAGTTTTGTGAGGCACCAGCACTCTCTGGAAGAGAAGGCTAACGACTTTGTAAAACGAGATCCCAGGATTCCATAGGATGGAGCTTCAGTGCTTAATGTGGTGTAAGACTGCATTATTTCTACCGTGTAGATGCAAAACAGTTCCCATACTTTGGATCAAACATTGAACAGAATGGAGACTAGTCAAGAAATTTGAAGAAGGCGAGGATTGGGGAGGGCAGCTTTGAAAGAATGAGACAAGGTCCTGAGGTTCAAAGATACACAGTTGCACATTAAAGTTAGAATTGTCCAAGCCATTGTATTTCCCATCACCATGTATGGATGTGAGAGCTAGACAGTGAAAAAAGCTGTCATAAAGAAAATAAACTCATTTGAGATGTGGTGCTGGAGAAAAGTACTGAGATACCATAGACAGCCAAGAAGACAAACAAATGGGTCCTTGGACATTTGTTGTTGTTTTTGTTGTTGTTAGCTGCCCTCCTGTTGATCCCGATTCATGGCGACCCTGTGGACAAAACAACTCCAAGCTCCCATATCCCCCATTGCTCTGCTCAGTCCCTGCAAACCGACGCTGTGACTCCCATGATTGAATCCATCCATCTTGCTTGCAGTCTTCCTCTCCTCCCCTCTCCTTTTCCTAGCATTATTTTTTTTTCTAGCGATCCATGTCTTGTCATGTGGCCAAAATACAACAGCCTCAGTTTAGTCATCTTAGGTTCTAGGGCAGGGGTAGGCAACCTGTCCCCTTTAAGGGCTGAGGGACTTCAGCTCCCAGAAGCCTCAGCCATGTTGGCCAATAGTCCCATGTTGGCCAATAGCTCCTGGGATTCTGGGAGCTGAAGTCCCTCAGCCCTTAAAGGGAAAAGGTTGCCTACCTCTGTTCTAGGGAGAGTTCACACTTGATGTCTCTAAGGACCCACTTGTCTCTTGGCTGTCCATGGGATCCTCAGCACTCTTCTCCAGCACGACAATCTCTCAAATGAGTTGATTTTCCTCCCATCTTCTTTCTTGACTGTCCAGCTCTCACATCCATACACAGTAAACATATCAAGCCTGAAAAACCTTTAGAAGCCAAGATGACTAAATTGAGGCTGTCGTACTTTGGCCATATCACGAAGAAACATGAATCATTAGAAAAGTCAATAATGCTAGGAAGGGTAGAAGTAGTAGAATGAGGGAAAGACAGCATACAAGATGGATGGACTCAGAGAGGCATGAGTTTGCAGGACCTGAGCTGACCAGTGGAGGACAGGAGGTCTTAGAGGTCTCTCACTCACAGGGTCACCATGAGTTGAGGGCAGTTCAAGGGCAGTTAACAACAACAAGAAGAGGCACCCTTAGATGTGGAGGAAGTGAATAAAAGAAGATGTTATCCTCATCTCTGCTAAAGCGGTTGAAGATAATTTTTTTGTTGTTAACTGCCTTCACGTCGGTCTCGACCCATGGCAACCCTATGGATGAGACATCTCCAGGTCGCCATGTCCTCTATTGCTTTGTCCAGCTCCTGCAAACTCATATTTGTGGTCTCTTTAATAAAGTCCATCCATCTAGCATGTGGCCTTCCTCTCTTTCTACTTCCTTCCTCCTTTCCTATATTATTGTCTTTTCCAATGTATTGATTGTAAAACAAAGAGTTTCTTCCTACAAATCAGATGGTTCACCACAGAACTCAGAGGGACCACCACCTTATCTATACTAGTTCTCTGCAAAATGGAATTGTTTCCTGTTTCTGGGCTTCCCATTTTATTTTTATTTGGTATATTTATACTCTGCTTTTCCTCCAGTGAGCACAAGATTGTATGCATGGATCTCCTCCCCACACCCCATTTTATTACAGCAGACCAGTGTGTAGATCTGTCTTTTGTATCTTCAAGTCATTTCTGATTTATGGCAACCCTAAGCTAAACTTATCATGGGATTTTCTTGGCAAGATTTTACTCACAAGGGGTTTGCCTGGCCCTGTGCCTTCCTCTGAGGCTTAGAGAGTGCAACTTGCCCAAGGTCACCCACATGGCTGAGTGGTGATTTGAACTCTGGACTCCAGAGTCTTAAGTCCAATCCTTAAACCACTACACCATGCTCGCTTGTGAGTATTTCAGGCAAAGTTAATAGAGTGGCTGGGCCAAGGTTGATTCAAGTAACAACTTGAATCTAGATCAATCAAACACTACACAGCATCATACTGGCCGAAATTGTTGGCTGTTTTGTTACTAGTGATGTACAAAATAGGTCTCTGGTCTTAGCCAGTGTAAATCTTTCCTTCGTATTTTAATTATTACAAGTGTTTTGGGAAGGGTGGCATTATAAAGATGTTAAAGGGAGGCCTTTGCTCATGCTTATACTAACTTCCAACCTGCAGGTCTTTTGTTTGGGTTGATACACTTATGCAATGAAAGAAATCCCATGTACATTTATGATGCAATAAATCCCATTAAAGAAAGTAGAAATTCAGAATGTATTACTTATTACAGGCTCAGAGAAAGGCAAAGGCAAACCCCCTCTTGAACAAATTTTACCAAGAAAACCCTGGGATAGGTTTGCCTCAGAGTTGCCATAAATTGGAAATGTCTTGAAGGCACACAACAACAAGAGATTATGTTTATAACCTGAATTTAATATATAACATGCTTTTTTGCTGTTGTTTCTCTGGTTTCTGTTTGTTTTCAGTTTTTATAGGGTTTCCATATAATATTCTCAGGGCAAAAAATAGTTTAAAATTAACTAACTGTAAAAATATAAATAGAACATGAGAATCACCAATACTAAACAAATTAGAACAAGTCAGACTAACAGTGATGCCCTCCACATGTCCTTTCAGGAGCCCGTTGAGTCTGATGTGATTTACCTTCCATATTACTGAGCACAGAACTGTACAACCTAAATGGCTGTTAGAGAGAGGAGAGGTAATTTAATTAACATTTTTATGTGTTTCTTAATGGGATGATCCACTAAATGTTTTGCAGGCAAAGTTGTCAGTATTTGGTCCT